CCTGGCTGGGGACGGTGCAGGGCCAGGCAGGGTTGACTGCTCCCTCAGATTAGAGGGTCTTCAGGGATCTCACGGCCTTTAGGTCCCTCCCTCCACCACCTCTGGAAAGCTGAAGTGAAGACACAATCAGCACAGATGGGACAGCCCTGATGTAGGTGGGGGGGAGGTCTCCTCTCTGTGCAGTTGGGGAGTGGCCTGTGAAGTGCTGGACAGCTGGGTCAGATGGTGGGAATGGCCAAGGTCATTGATAAATATGGGAGTTTTTGAAAGTGACAGACAGAAGCTGAAATCAGATGCACTAATTTGGTAGAAAGCAACTGAATGGCTGTCCTCTCAATTCCATCCTCTCCTGCACACAGCCCTTCCCCTCTAAGCTCACTCACTGAGCCTGCCATCCCCTCACTCGGCCCCTCCCCCATCCCTGCTCCCGGAAGTGCCCTGTGTGCTGGACGCTGGGACTCCAGCCAGGAGGCAGCAGTGTGGCCTTTATTCTCTTCCTTAGAGGCACCCCCCACGTGGCCACCCCCCTCCACCCTCTGAGCCCATGTGGGGCCCGTCTTGGGGGCAGCACCTGCTCGGCCAGTCTGGCCAGGCTGGGCAGCCAGGCCTGTCATTACCCAGCCCAGGCCAAGGTGGGTGGAAGGTCCAAGGTGAGGGCTCCCCACTCAGCCTGGGGCCATTTCTGAGATCCATTTCTGAGCTCAGGGGCTTAAAAAGACACAGGGTCCTAACTTTTGTCTATGGGCTGGCGGGGGAGGTGATCATGGGCTGAGCACTTAGCGAATAATTCTTGCAAAAATAAATAGTTCTGGATCAACTTCCAAGCTAAACAAAAAAACTTTTTTGGCTGGCTGGTAAGGGGATCTGAACCCTTGACCTTTGTGTTATCAACACCATGCTCTAATCGACTGAACTAACCAGCCACCCCCAAGCTAAATGAATTTTTGAGCTGAAAGTGAAGCTGCTTCCTTTTTTCTTCAAAAATGCTGCTTGGTTTTATAAGGATCAAGATGGTTAGGGCCGGCCCGTGGCTCACTCGGGAGAGTGCGGTGCTGATAACACCAAGGCCACGGGTTCGGATCCTATATAGGGATGGCCGGTTCGCTCACTGGGTGAGCGTGGTGCTGACAACACCAAGTCAAGGGTTAAGATCCCCTTACCAGTCATCTTTAAGAAAAAAAAAAAAAAAAGATGGTTATGTTTGGTGGGGAGGAATAATTTTAGTCAACACCAGCTCACCTGGCTTCAGTCTTCCTGTTCCCAGAGATGTGGAGTGAAGGCCCTGGAGCTGGACTTGCTCAGCCCCTGAGATGCTTCCGGCCTGGCTCTGGCCCTGGGCTCAGGGGGCAGTGGGATGGCTCAGGGTTAGAAGGAAGACTGCATCTTTGCCCCTCTCCTTGGGATTCCCAGGGAGCTGGTGTATGTGCGTGTGATGTGATCAGGTACTTGGCTGAGCTCCTGGGAGTCTGGGGACAGGGGTCGTAGGAGTCCTATCTCCTGCCTGGTGAGAGCCAGGCCGGATCTGAGCAGCGACTGCTTTGTGCCAGGAACTTTGCTTCCTCTTCTGGGTACTACACTTTTCAGCTCACAAAATGTTTTCACGTCTGTCTTAGATCGGGGGTTGTGTGCTAATGGTCTCGTCTTACAAAAGAAGAAGTTGAGGCTCAGAGATGGAACTGGCTGGTAGGATGGTTTACAGATACTAAATTTTCCAGCTTTAGTGCTTTTTGTGTCAAAAAGCATTTTGATAGCCTCATCTCATTTCACATGAAAACGAGGGGAGGGGGTGTTAATGTCCCCATATTACAAAGGATAACGTGGCTCAGAGGTGGTCACAGAGCTGGTTAGATGGTTGGTTTAGGGGGTAGGTGGGGATGGGTGAGCTGAGCTGATTGGGGAGGGGGCTGCCCTCGATAAAAACCAGCACATATGATAGACTGTATTGGCATGAAATTAGAGCGTATGTTGTGAAAAAGAGAAAGAAAATAAATAACGCCAGCCCTGCACTCCCTGACCCCAATCGAAGTTGGTGAATGGCAGACACATTAAGGTGTCCCAGTAGGACATTGCCTAAGCTTTTGGGAGAGGGCCAGGTGCAGGGCTGGAGGTGAATTTCCTTGTCTTACCCCTTAGGGCTCAGGGAGCCAGAGTGGACCGCAGGAAAGAGTCCTGGCTCTGCTGGTGTTTTTCCTGCAGCAGCTGGGTGGGGCTGAGCCAACCTCTCTTGGCAGAAATCAAGCATCAACAAGTATCTCTCCAGCATCACGCGTGTGCTGAGCTACTCCTGCTCCCCAGGACACCCCTCCTCCCCTCCTTCACCCCTGGGACCCCCGGCCCCGCCTGAGCTCCCTTTTGACCTCCCCTGTCCCCATCCCCCATCTCCCATCCCCTCCCACTCTCTGTTCCTGATGTGGTTGGCTGGGCTTCTTAGTCACTTCTGTTGGGCCACAGGTGGAAAGCTCTGGGGCTTGCGTGCTCCCCTCCCCCACTCCTGCTTCTCCAAGTGCCAGCTGGCTGTGTCCCAGCAGAGCAAGGGCTGGAAGTGTGTGGGGCAGTCTGGCCTTCTGGCCCACTCGCTTCTGTACTCAGAAAGCTTGCTGCAGGGCTGCCCAGGCCGGGATGACAGACAAGGGGCACCTGAATGAGGAAGCCCCCGTGTTGGAGTGCCCACCTGTCCCAGGCAAGCCCCTCGCCCTCTCTGGGCCTTAGTTTACTAATTTGCACCAAGCGGTAAGAGTCCCTGCCCTGCTTATTGACAAGGACACTGTGATGAGGTCATGGCAGGAAAGCACCTCCCATCCCTCACGGGCAATCACAAAGGTGGTTATCTCTGCGGTTCATCCCACAGGCCTCGCATGTGGTTCCTCAGAGCCTTGTAAGGAAAGCCCCGGGGAGGTGCCGTGCAGGCAGAAACCGCCCCTGTTTGTGTGAATTTGTGGGAGGGTGGGTGGAAACCTTCTTTGTTCCAGCATCCAATGTTTCTAGAAGCACCTACTAAGTGGCAAGCCCTGTGCTGGGCACCAAGGTTGAATAAGGCATTCTCTGTCCTCCAGGAGTCCCCAGCCGAGTAGGGGAGAAGATGTGTTTACAGTTAACCACAACACAACTTAACTGCAACTTCCCCATCTGCAATGGTGGTGATCATGCTACACCGTCCCAGCCAGCCCCGTGGTCCATTAGGTGGTCAACAGACCCATCTCAAGCTCCTCCCACGTGCAGAGCACACACATACAGCTTCCACCCAAATCATGGCCCAGATCATGATGATTCTCCCACAGGAAGCTCAAGGACCATGCATCTGTCTGGGCCAGAATAGGACACACGGCCACTCCAGGGCACCAGCTGTGGTGCTGGACAATGGCGGGGGCTCAGGGAGGCATTGGAACCCTGGCCCCTGAGGAGCTCCCCCAGCATGGGGGAAAGAGAGACACAAAGTGACCACGTAGAGGGTGGGGGGCTCCCCTGATCCAGCTGTGACGGGCCCCAGCCACTGTTGCTCACCCCCACCATGACCCCTTCCTCTAGGTCCCCTCCGGCTCCTCCCCTGAACCCAGCCCTTCCTGATCCTGGGGTCCCTGGCCTGTCTCCACCTCCTGCCTGTTTCCAGAGATGCCTTTCTGGAGGTGGTGACCCCTCTTGGCCTGGCATCCAGTGCCTTGGCTCATCTCTGAGCCTCTGAGCACAGATGCCTGACCGTTTCCTTCACTCTGGACCCTTGTCCACCAGCCATCTCTGGTCAGACTGGATTCCTTGCTGTTCTGGAAAGAGCTGCATTTCCACACCTTGGCACCTTGGTGTCCCCTCACCCCACTGTCCACCCTCACCTAGTCCTTGCCCTGCTGCCTTGCGCAGCTCCCTGCGGACCCGCTCATGGTGATTTGTGTTATTTGGTGCCCTCTGTGGCATACCCTGAGAACACAGCACCCCCTAGAGTAGTGCCATATAGTGCCCCGTCACTGTCATGCTCCCCTGATGCCCAACCTCCACCCTGGCCAGACCCGCTCATGGTGATTTGTGTTATTTGGTGCCCTCTGTGGCATACCCTGAGAACACAGCACCCCCTAGCGTAGTGCCATATAGTGCCCCGTCACTGTCATGCTCCCCTGATGCCCAACCTCCACCCTGGCCTGAGTTCTCCCTTCTCTTTGAAGGCCCATAGGACTTCGTCCCCGTCCTGGCTTTATCGGATGGCTCTGTGTGTCTTTACAGAGTAAACACCATTTGCTGGGCTGATGATATCTCCAGGGTCCTTACTCACGGCTTGCTCTCGGTGACCTCCTCCGCCCAGTTTTGGTCAGGCAGGCTCAGCCCAGGCAGAAGCAGAGCCCACTGGCCTAAACTTCCCTGGACAGGGATGGGCCTCTGTCTCTATTTGGCCAGAAGTGCATCACTTCCGAAGCCCCTCCTCTGGCCGGGGGGAGGGACGCTGGGTGCGAGAGACGAGGGAGAGAGGGTGATGGACCCAGGAGGCTTGGCGTCCCAGCTCCTCATCCCCCCAACCTCAACATCAATCTCATCTGGCCAAGGCCAAGACTGCTGGTGAAGCCAAATGCATGGGTGATAACGATAATAACAGCAGCAGTGATGCCGGTGATGAAAGTGATAAGGACAGGGAGGAGTTTCTTGTTCATGTTCCCGGGACTTCATCCACCCAAGGCTGGAATGAGGGAGCACCAGGGTGTGGAGACACTGGTCTCATGCCCCAAACCTGGCTGGGCCTGGCTGCCTCCTGCCCCATGAACATCCAGGGGCTGTTAGTCAGTGTCTGTCTCCAGGCTGACCTCAGCATGGGCCTGTGGGGAGGGGAGAGGGCAGTTTCCTCTGAGACTGGAGAGTGATTCAGGGGCCCAGGGCTGGGCCTGAGAGTGCCTGTGTTGGCCATGGCTCAGGAATCCAGAGAAACTGGTCACGGGGAGGCCCCAGTGACTGAAAGCCCTCCCTCTGCCCCCGCCCCTCCACCAGAGCCGTATAACTGCTTCAACCTGTAGTCTGAGAGCGCTGTGGCAGCTGTCGGCAGGAAGGAACTGGTCTGGCCACACTTGCTAGGCTCCCGTATCTGATTCTCCAGATCGGATCAGCGTCTGGCTTTGTTTCCTGACTCCCAGGGAAAGGCTTCCCCTGCAAGTGCCGTCGAGTCCATCCTCAGAGCTTGGACTCCTACAGCCCATAGAGCCGGATCCCTACAGTGTTCCAGGTCCCGACCCCAGCAGACACTGAGTGATGGCCTCTATGGGGCTACAGGTGATGGGCATCGCACTGGCCGTGCTGGGCTGGCTGGGCGCCATGCTGAGCTGTGCGCTGCCCATGTGGCGGGTGACAGCCTTCATCGGCAGCAACATCGTCACATCGCAGACCATCTGGGAGGGCCTGTGGATGAACTGCGTGGTGCAGAGCACCGGCCAGATGCAGTGCAAGGTGTACGACTCTCTGCTGGCCCTGCCCCAGGACCTGCAGGCTGCACGTGCCCTCTGTGTCATCACCCTCCTTGTGGCCCTGCTCGGCCTGCTGGTCTACCTTGCTGGAGCCAAGTGTACCACCTGTGTGGAGGACAAGGACTCTAAGGCCCGCCTGGTGCTCACCTCTGGAATCATCTTCCTCATATCAGGAGTCCTGACCCTGATCCCCATCTGCTGGACTGCCAATGCCATCATCCAGGACTTCTACAACCCCCTGGTGGCTGAAGCCCAAAAGCGGGAGCTAGGGGCCTCCCTCTACCTGGGCTGGGCAGCCTCGGGCCTTTTGTTGCTGGGCGGGGGGCTGCTGTGCTGCACCTGTCCTTCTGGGGGTTCCCGAGGCTCCAGCAATTACATGGCCCGCTACTCAGTATCTGTCCCGCATACCACCTCTCGGGGGCCCTCTGAGTACCCAACCAAGAATTATGTGTGATGCCAGTGAGGGAGTGGGGGTCCCACTGGCAATGGAGCCCTCGCCCCTGGGCTGGAGCCATCAAGAGGTGGTGATGTGTAACCGCTTTGGGGTTGGTTTTTATCTTTTCTTTTTGCTCTTTTATTTCTATGGGGTATTTTAAAAATCCATTTGATAACTGCACCAGACTCCCAACTGGACTCTGCTGTTGGCATTTCTCACCTTTGGATGATGGAGCCAAAGAGGTGGTGCTTTGAGTTTCTGGATCTTTCTCCAGGGGCAGGGGATGTCCCTAGACATCCCCATCTTGGAACCCAACCTGGAGCTGCGGAACCAGTGTGAAGGCTTGCTGTTCTGATAGCAAGATGGCCTGTCCCCAGGAGTTCCCACAGCTGCTGGAGGCTGGGCTTCCCTGGACTTGCAGGGACAGCTGCCCCTTCCTGGTCAGGGCTATGGAACCCCAAGGGGCTCCTGAGCCTCTCTTCTCAACTCTGGAAGAGCAGGTGATGCGTTATCAAAGAACTGCCCACCTCCCAGTCTTCTGACCTCTGGCTCCTCCATCCTGTTGTCAGGTCCCAGCTGTGCTATAGACTCCTGCCCCTCACCTCTTACCATGCACTCTTCTGCCCGTGCCCCGCCCACACTCACAAGTTTTTACTAAATAAAGCATGTTTTGTATGTGCCTTTGGTGTTGTGGGGGGGGGGCTGAGGCCACATGGAGGGTCAGAGGCCAGCCGGGGGCTGGGGACTAGACCTCACTCCCTTAACCTGAGCCGCCTCCTGCTTTTGGTACAAGTAGACGATACCAGAGATGAAGCCATCCTTGGCAGAGGTGCCAGGCACCACCTCGAGCTCGGAGGTGGCCAGCTCCCAGTGGTCCACAGGCCAGGCCACCAGGCGTTCCCACATCCCGGCCCGCTCCAGCCTGTCCAGGGTGGCCTCCAGTGCTTCCTTGTATTGAAGGTTGGACGGGTTGGTCCTGGTGGTCAGACACACCAGCCCACCTGGGGAGTTGGAGGGGCGGGTGACCTGGGTGAGGGGCAGGAGGGTTGTCCCTTCCTACTCATGTGTTCAAGTCTACTAATCCTTCCAGCTCTGTCCTCAGGCCAGCATTTTCCCATCTCCAGCGCTTTGGTGCTCACGGTCCCCTCCCCCAGGAATCCCCTTCTGTTTTCTCTGCTTAACAGCCTCCTATGCACCCCGCAAGGCCCAAGTGTCCTTGACACTGGGAGTGCTTGACTTAGTCTCGTGGGCTGAGGGGCAGCCTCCTCACCACTCATCCAGCCCCTCTGCTGGAGAATTTGACCACGTCTGGATGCACAGGAAGGAAGCACATGGGTGCTGGACCTTGGGCAAGTCCCTTCACCTCTCTGAGCCTCGGTTTCCCAGCTGGCAGAGAGTGGATGATTATCCTGTCTCATAGGAAGGTTGGTGTGTGTGTGTGTGTGTGTGTGTAAAATGCCCAGCATAGTCAGTAAGAATGCTGGTGGAATGGATGAATGGCCTTGTCCCTTCAGGTCCAGGCACCTACAGTGTGCCCAGTGTATCCTCACATGCTCTTGGGAGGAGAGGACGGGAAGACTCAATGACTGGTCTGGAAAGGCTTCCTGGAGGAAGGGATAAGGAGGAGCTGGGTGCTACTGGGGGTGGGGGGAGCCTGCCACCCGGGGGCATGCAGACAGGGCTGTGGCTGGCATAGGGCCTAGCAGGCACAGGCTGGGCTGGAAGGTCTGGTCCTTGCTGGTTCATGCAGTGGGAATTTCCTGTCCTCCTGAGCCCAGCCTCCTCCTCTCCTGCTGACCCCACAGATGTCCCTGCATCTGTCGGCCTCTGGGGCTCCCTGATGCCGAAGCCTTCCCAGACCTGCCTAGGCTTAGCCATGGCCCTGCTGAGCCTGGCAGCAGGGATGAGCGGGGGAGGAAGCAGTTTCACCTCCCCGACTTCCCCATCCTGTCCTGTAGCCAGCCAGGGCCTCCTGATCCTCATGCTCAGCCTGTCTTTCTGCCTTGTGACTTTGCTTAGGCTGTGGTCCTGTGCGGGTTCCTCGTCCTAGCCCTCAGAAGCCTCTTTCCTCTGAATTCTCTGGCCCTGTGCTATCTGGCTCCTTTCTCAGCTCAGTGGGTTGGTGCACGGAGGGTAGTCTGTGTCTTCTGCCCAGAACAGAGGCAGGTGCAGGGCATGTACATTGTAGGAGCTCAGGAAACACAACTGCCTGCATGTCACACAATGTGCAGTTTTTACAAGGGCTTACAACTATCACCTCACCTGAACAGCCCCATTTCACAGATGAGGAAACTGAGACCAGGGAACACAAAGAGACTCACTTAAGGGCAGACCATGAGTTAGTGAGGAAGCTGGACGATGAGGGAACCAAAATGAGCCCTTACTAGGTGCTAGGACTGAAGCAAAGGCCTCAGAGACATTTCACTCCATTCTCACTGCCGTACTATGGAGAAGGGATCAGAGCAGTTACGCCATCCTGCTTGCAGGCGAGGAAACAGGCCAGAGAGGAGTGGAGGTGCTCTGGTTGCCCATGCGTAAGAGGCAAGCTGGCCACCAGTCTGCCCTGCCTGTTTGCCTGGGTCTGTTGATGGCAGCTGAGCCCCAGCCCTGGACTGGCAGCTGGTGGCTGGAGCACTAGGCTAGGCTCGCTTAGCCTCAGGGATTCTGAGGCCTGTGTCTGTGGTGTGCAGAGGGGAGGGTTTGTGTCGGGGGTTGGCTGGGCTGCTCCTCACCTGGCTTGGTGACCCGCAGGAGCTCAGGTATTGCGCTGCAGGGCACCTGGCCATCACTGAGGGCACCCACCATCAGCACTGCATCGAAGGTCCCTGTGGAGGTAGTGGTGAGGGGATGTGGTATGAGGCTTTGTCTATGGTGTATTCTCAGACCACCATAGAGGACAGTACCCCATGGGGCTTGGGAAGGGACAAGGCCTGCCACCTGTGTCTACAGGACCCAGATCCCATGGAGGATATAGTAGGTATAGTCCAGTCCTAGGCTGAGCTCAGATCACGGAGCAGAGGCCTCAGTGTGGGAGGGGGCTCATGGAGGGCACAGCATGGGGGATGGAGGCTTGGCAACAGAAGGATGCTCCATGAAGGTGGGTGAGGTGGGGGCCTTGGGGGGTTAGAGGTAGGAGAGGAAGTACCTTCAGGGCTGGGCAGAGGCTCCTGGCCCAGGATGCAGAGGCTGAGGCGCTGGTAGAGGCTGCGGTCCCGGGCCTGCTCCAGCATCCCTGGGCTCCCATCCACTCCATGCAGCTGGAGGAAGCCCCGAGCCTGCAGCTGGGGTGGGGGCGAGGGGACTTGGTCATGGTTCACACCCTGCCATTCCCAGTCAGGTCCCTGTACCTTGGGGAAGGCAATGGGCCCTGCAGTGGACGTGGCCTATGGGGTTTGGGGCAGTGAGTCTGAGGCGGGGAGGAGTTCTGGGGTCAGGGGTGGTAGGAAATTTGAGCAAGTTGGGGACTGAGGAGAGGGTAGGGGATCTGGGGGAAGCCTCACCTCGGCAGCTACCAGGCCAGTGCCACAGGCCACGTCCAGGATCAGGGCAGTGTGGGGTGGGCCTGGAAGGGCTTGGGTGAGACAGTCCACTGCAAGGCGGGGGGCACGGTACTGTAGGGCGGCCACGTCCTGGGGATAGACACCAGTGCCCCAGTGTTTGGGGAACCTCCTGTGTGGGGTTGTCTAGGAGTCCAACAGGGCTAAGTGATGTGTGTGTTGGGGGCTCCAGCTCTGTTAGGGCTACAATGTAAGGAGACCCAGGCATGAGGTGTTTTCCACTGTCAAGGGGCCAGGACTGGAGTTAGCCCCCAGCCACGCACGCGCGTGTGTGTGCGTCTGTGTCTGCATGTGTCTGTGTGTGTGTGTGTGTCTGTGTCTGTGTCTTGCCTCAGCCTCCCAGGGGCTTTCTCTGATGTGCGTGTGTGTGCGTCTGCGTCTGCATGTGTCTGTGTGTGTGTGTGTGTGTCTGTGTCTGTGTCTTGCCTCAGCCTCCCAGGGGCTTTCTCTGATGGTCAAGGCAGCTCTCTCTGCTTAGTCCACAGTGACCTCTCCATGGCACCTCCTCCAGGCAGCCCCTCCATCTGGGCTGCAGTCCCAGGGTGGGGAGGTCTTGGCTGCTGCCAGAGGCTGCAGTGGGTGGGGAGAGGAGAGGCTGGTCCCTGAAGGGGCAGGACTTCATTTTCACAGACACCCTAGGAGGCAAAGCTAAGTACTCCCGCCTTACAGGTAGAAATATTGAGGCTGGAGGATCAGACGGAGGCACAGGTGAGGACCCCGACGTGTTTACCTGGTCGTAGTCAGGAGCCCAGCGGTCATAGAAGTGGAGCTTGCGGGCCAGGTCCGCGATGCCATGAGAGGCCCCGACCCGCGCCCGCACCTCGAGCAGGCTCCTAACCTCCTCCTGAGCCATCCTCCTGTGGGGACACGGCCTCCCTGTCCCCAGGCCCTCCTCAACCTCCCATCCCCCCTCGACCTCCCCCCACCGCTCCCCCGCCCAGCAGAGGAGGCTGTCAGGCCACCACATCACAGGCGGGGACACGGCGCAGGGAGGGCGGACTGGACATCACCCTGGGACTGCAGGCTGTGGGGAGGGGTGTTCCCCGCGGCGGGCGGCAGGACCCGCCCCACCCCTCGCCCCCGACCAGGTGGCATCCAGAGCGGCAGGGCTCTAAGGACGCAGGGGTCAGAACTCACCGCCAGCCTCACGCCGGAACTCGGGGCGGGGTCTGTACGGAGAGCCCGGCCACGCCCCACCACCCTCGTGATCGGAAAACACCCAATCAAAGGAAAGCGCTGGCGCCCGGCCCCTGCCACCAGCCAATGAGCTCGAGGCTCTCGGCCCCCCTCCTGCCCGGGAAGACGCCAAGCTCCTCCTCGGATCAGGACTCGTGTTCAGAAGCTCGCCAAGGTCTGTGCAGCGCTGTCCCGTAGAACTTTGTGCGATGGTGGAAATGTTCTATAATCCGCGCTGTTCAATAGGGTAGCCACTGGCCACGTGTGGCCACTGAGCACTTGAAATGTGGCTAGTGCGACGGTGGAACTGACTTTCGAATTCGATTTTTCTTTAATAATTTAAATAGCCACGCGTGGCTGATGTCTACCGTATTGTACTCAAAGTACAAACCACACACTTGCAGCAGCAGCCTCGGCAGCAGCTTGGGTTCCTCCAGGAGAGTCCCTTAGGGGGGCTCGTTAGAAATGCAAATTATCAGTTCTGCCCCAGACCTTCTGAATTAGAATTAGATTGCTGGGGATGGGACCCCAAAATTCTGTGTTTTAACAAACTGTCCAGGTGATTCTAGGCAGCTAAAGTCTCAGGAGCACTGGCCTAGAGGACCATGTAGTGATGAAGGTTTGGGCAGGCAGAGTTTGGGAGGCTGTCGCTGTCCATGCAGGAGGGGATGGTAGCGTGAACTCGGGTAGAGGTCATGACTGGGGAGTGGGGTGGATGAGTTTCAGACACGTTTAAGAGTAGAAAGAAGCACAGGGCTTTGATGATTGAGGGAAGGAAGATGTTGGGAATGGTGCCCAGCTTTCTGCCCGAGCCCTTGGGTTGATGGTGGTGCCACTCACAGCAGGGGAAGCCCTAGAGGAGGAGCAGGTTTCGGGGAAAGAGGATATTAACAGTTTTTGGATATGAGTTTGAGGTGTCTGTGACCTGTCTAGGTGAAGAAGTCTAGGAGGAAGATACCCATTAAGACTCTTTGATGCCAGAGTCCTGAGCTCAGAAAAGAGGTCAGGCTGGAGACGGTTCAGGGTCAAGAGTATAATTGTGGTGATTGAGGCAGCTGGTAAAGGTGAGATTGTGCAGGGTGAAAAGAGAGGGAGATGAAGAGAGGAGGCAGGATCCAGCTCGAGGACCCCAACACTTCAGGGCAGGTAGAGGAAGAGGAATGGCTAGGAGTGTTGGAGAGAACCCAGAGAAACGAGGAGGGATGCCAACACCAGTGCTTCGAGAAGATGGGAGATGGCCAACATTGTACAGTGTTGCTGAGAGGTGGTACAAAATGAAGATTAAGAAGTAGGGCTGGCCGGTTAGCTGATTTGGTTAGAGCGCAGCCTTGTGACACCAAGGTCAAGTGTTCAGATGCCCGTACCAGCCAGCTGCCAAAAAAAAAAAGAAGAAGCACTGGTTTTAAGGATATGGAGGTTTGTTTCCCTTGAATGTGGGTGTGGCCATGTGGCTGACTCCTGGCCAATGGAATGTGAGTGGAATTCTCCATTTCCAGACCTGGACCATAGAAA